GTGGAGGAGGCGGAAGCTGCCTGGCGCCGCGTGGAGGGACCGCGCGAGGCGGCGGAGGGAGGAGCCGGGGTCTTCGCGGGAGCTGAGGGGCCCCGTGGGGCGCGCCGCCACTGCGGCTGCCCCCCAGGAGGGGAGGACAGGCCGGGGGCGCTGGGCGCTTGCCCCCGAGTTGACTGCCGCTGCGCGCCGCGGCCGGCCGAGGACGAGCCCCCGGCACCGCCCGCCGTCGGCCCCCGGAAGCGCGGCGCGGCGGGCGTGGGTGGCGGCCCCGCGGGCGGTCCGGCGCCCGGCTCCAGCCCGCTCAAGAAGCCCCGCCGGAACTCGGAGGAGCAGCCGGGCGGGGCGGAGGAGGAGGAGGAGATGGAGACCGGGAACGTGGCTAACCTCATTAGCATCTTCGGTTCCAGCTTCTCGGGACTCTTGCGGAAAAGCCCCGGGGGCGGCCGGGAGGAAGCCGAGGGAGAGGAGAGCGGTCCGGAAGCCGCCGAGCCCGGGCAGATCTGCTGCGATAAGCCGGTGCTGAGAGACATTAACCCTTGGAGCACAGCCATCGTGGCCTTCTGAGCCCCCGGGTCCCGTTCGGAAGGAGGTTGAGCGGCGGGTGGCCCCGACGTGGGGCTGCGAGGACGGCCCAGAGACCGCAGGGCGCTGGACGCGTTGCGGGGACCGTGGGTGCCGCCGGGCAGCACCGACTGCCCTCGGGCTCGGCGGCCTCCCCCCTGGAGGCTTGTCGGAAGAGGACGATCGTTAACTTTTGTGTAGTGTTCTGTCTGTGTACGTACGTCTGTCTTGTTGAATTCAGACCATTTTGTCCTTCTGGAATGCACCACCCCTTTCCCAGGGCTGAGGAGATCGGGGGCAGACGGGGACTTTCCTTTGCCGGCAGCCCCGAGAAGGAAGCGGCGGAGAGGGCCGGGCCTGGGGAGTTCCCCTTTCGTGCTCGGGGGAGGAAGGGACTTTACACACACCCCTCACATGAAAGCTAGCCCCGCACCAGGGCCGGGAGTGGCATTTCCTCACAGGATTTCCTAAGACTAGAGGGATTTAGTCTGGAGCAGAGACCTGTATCATTTCGCTCTCCCCACTTTTCTCTCTCTGAAGAAACTTCTGTACCCTGTGATTACTCTGGGAAAGGGAATCTGAGCGGCTCTTGTCTTCCCCACGGGGGGGGGGGGGGAGAAAGCTTGATGAACTTCACAGAAGAGTTCAAGCTTGGAAATATGGAGTTTATAGAGAATAGATATATTTTTAAAAGCTCTAGATCGGAACTACTACAAGTGCTTTTAAAAAGTGTTTAATGAAACAGAGTTTACAGACAGAAGCCCTAAGTGGAAAGACCTTATGGTTTTGTAGATACGGTGACTCCAGTCTTTGTTGTATAAAGGTTGGGGGAGCCGACAAGGTTTTTGTACAGTATTTTCTCCTTCGTTGTATTGATTTTGGTATAAAAATGTAACTTTACGTGTCTAACACGTATTAAATATTTTGAAGCAACTTAATTGCCTCCTTGTCTGTAATCATCTGTCTGGGTTGGGAGGGAAGAGGGAGAAGGGTGACTATGGTCCTGGCTGGGAAAGTGGTTCTTAATATCAGTCATGCACAGACTGGGGACATTGTTTTCTGACTTCACTAAGTATGGAGAGAGATGTTGAAGGTGTCTCCCCTAGATCAACGGAGGACTGCTATTAGGTACTGATACCAGTGGTCAGCCAATTTCTTAACCTGTCACTACAACTGCCTTTTCTGAAGTCCGTTTAGCCCAGTTTGATTTTCTGCAGCTCAATCTGATAGTGTCTAATATTAATTAACTTTAGTGCCAACTTTTGAAGCCCTTCCCGTATGCAAATATGTTTTCACAAAAACTTCTTTTTAGTATCCTGTTAAACTATATAATATGGGTCACCTTTCAGCTTTGTTATTGAAAAAAACAGACACATGAGGGCAGCTAATGAGACTGACCCGCCCAGTTGGTTGATCCTCCTCTGTATTCCAGTGGATGGAGTTTTCAGTGTTTTTTTTTTTTTTTTTTTCCTCTTATTGTCTTATCTGTAGAAAGTGAAAGGAAATTGCCCGTGTCAAACTAGGTAAGGAAGGAGGGCTAGGCAAATTCAGCTTAGCAAAACTTCCTAATTTGCTCAGTGTTTGGGTCATGGTAAACACTTAGGTGATGACAGCTATGTCATCAGTTGGTTTTACAATAATTACTGCATTTTAAGAGAGCTTTTTGTCGGGCAAGTATTCGATATGTGAAAGGGATTCACTAATCTAGTTCAGAAGCAAATCAATTAGAACGCTATTTTAAAATATTGTTGCTAGTACTTTAAAAGCTGTTATTGGTCTATAACAGCTTATAAATGAGTATTTAAGAGATGGAACAAATTGAGGAAAGATTAGACAAAGCTTTTAAGTAAAGGTTATGGCCTTTGAACAGAGGGAGCAAATGAATGGTGCTTTGGTATTCCTAAAGTCTTGATTATGTGAACTTCTGTCGTAGCTCAGTAGGCCAGTGCTTTGATTTTTTGCAACTCTATTAGTGATTCATTAAGCATAAGGAACTTTTGGCCTTCTCCATCACCATAACAATATATTCATAGAATTAAACCTTGTCTAATCAGGGTCTTATTAAAATTGACATGTTTTTCTTTCAGAGATTAGCTATTTAAGTTCAGTTCTAGCCACAAGAGATCCATTGAGTGCTAACTGCTTAAACTGAATAAATGGTCCAGGGCCTTACTTTTGCAAACATTTCCTGTTGCTAGAAAGTAATTATGCTTGAACAGCTATCTCAGTGCATCTTTATTTTTGAAAGGGGGTAACATTTGATGTGTTTAAGAGAGTTGGTATGTTTTGGGTAAGATTGAAGTTCCTGTTGATTGTTTTCACATTTAAGAGAAAACATGGGACCATGTTTCTACTTAATTTAGAGAACGTAAGTGGATATATTTGATAGGGAGATCTAGCTGTGTAGGAAATCTGAAAAGATCATGATTGGTTTTGCAGAATTGTTGCAGAAGCTGTATAGTGTAATGGTTAAAGCTTGGGCTCTTGAGTGAGACTTCTGATTTTGTATTTTGGGTCTGCCACTTAATTAGGTGAGGAACTCTAGACAGATGACTTCATCTCTTTCTGCCTCAGTTTTTCCAAATGTGAAATTGAGATAATTGTATCAATCTCGTAGGGTTGTGAAAGTTAATGAGCTAATGCCTCAAAAGTTCTTAGAAAAGTGAGCATGCATAGCACTCAGTTTTTAGTTATTGTTAACTTAGAAGTGAATTTTGTGTGTAAATCAGATCTATTACTGTCAAAGAATTGTGTATATTTGTAAGAAAGGCAAGTAAGGGGGAATCTATTTTAAACTTAGCCTATCTGAATGCTGGGTTTGTTTATTCTCTGGACACTTGGCAGTTACAAAGCTTAGTTGCATCAGCATGGTTTTGCTGTTCTGTATGTCTCACACCAACTCTGTGACTTTTCTGATTGTATCAAGCAACTCTATTTTCAGGGAAGAGTAAGCAGGAGTGAAAACACTCAAGGAGCAAAGATCTTGTTGACATGCAAACGCATTCTGTGAGTAAAGAAAAAAAATAGCCCACAGAGTTATTTTTAGCCTGAATTGCTTGGGCATAGAATGTTTCTTAAGCCATGTTAATTGATAGGTCTTGGAAAAGAGCCTTCCCAGTGGCAGGATAAGGTTATCACACACAACTAAATCAGATTCACTGTGACTACAAATGAAGCCAATAGTTTTTAATACCTAACCACTTGTTGACCACTCTGGGAGGGACCTCTTCTTTTGATTAAAGAAACCTTAGCTGTGGTCTAGGGGGAAAATTTTTTTTTTTTTACTGTCCCATGAAAACTAGTTGTTTAAAAAGTGCTTTTTGATGAGTACTTCAAGATCACATTAATAGTGAATAAAGGTGATAAGTTTTAGTACAACACTTCTTAACCAGGTTACTTTAAACCTGTCTTCCCTCTCAGAAACTGTTGATTGTATTTGGGGAAAGGAACTTAAGATGGAAAGCTTGAACTGCACAGTGACTAGATTTTCCCTAAGGCACCTGGTAGAGTAATAATAACCTTTCTATCCCTATCATTTATCACTGATTGGATTTGGGGATGAGAAGTGGGAGGGAATGGACTATTTAGCAACATTGGTAAAAATCTTCTCAGACTACAGACATAGTAAATATTGGGAATGGAATTAATGATGACAAAACTGCTCTTTTTTATCACTGAATTAGTCTGAATCTCTTACCTCAACTTGCTAGGCAGGTAACTCCCCTTAGAGCCTGTGAGGTGGAGTCAAAAGGCTAATACCTACTGCGATACAGAGTTCGATGGACATTTATTTCCTTGTGCTTTTTTTTTTAAGTAGAGTTAGTTCAGTTCACTGAATAACCAAAGAAATTCTGATCTCTTGCCCTAAATATTCTTGTCCTGTTTGTGAATTTTTTATTCTTCTAAGCTCGCTTTAATCCCAGCAGTTACTGAAAGAAGAAAAGAATGAAAAGAAACAGCGATCCAACCCTCCCGTGACTATGAAAGAAGCCATTACTATTAGGTGCCGAACTCCGGTGGCAGTGAGGTCTGCTTCCCAGGATTCCTGGCACTCTTTCCAGTAATGAGCAGTTTGTTTCTCAGCCTTTGAACCATTATTCACATTTAAAATTCTACTCAGCGGAAAGCCTTGGGAGGAAAAATCTAGTAGAAGTAGAACCGATGTTAGGAATCATGGTAATCTTAGCGCATGTCCTTGGAGTTTTTCAGTAACAGATCTTGAGGGTATAATAGAGAAGAGGGTGTGTGAGAGCAGAAAGTGTAAAAGGATACACACATCTAGTAGAATGCCTCCTTCCTGATCCAAACACGGTTTTTCCCCGTGCCTGCCACCACCCCTTCCCCCGGCAGGAATGAGGGTTTTAAAAATAAAACCCTTCTCTAGCTCTCTCTCAGAGAACATAGCCCAAAGCATCTTTGCTGGACTATATCCTGGGGTTTATCTCAGACCTTTGGAATCTCACAAGCAGGGAGGGAGAAGCCTCCTGGGACTGCATTCCTACATGTGCCTCTCCCTCTCCCCTACTCTCCTGATCTGCAGTACCCCCCCCCCCCCAACTGGATACTGCCCACTTATGGGCAGGTGAGACATTGTCAGCTATGAGCTTTTGAAAGTTGCAGGAAGAAGGGCTGATGCCTGTCACTACCACCAAGCATCTTCCACAGGTAAATCTCTTAAGGGTCTAGCATACAGTAGGCCTGTGACATTTCTTGATAAATCTTTTTTATATAATAAAGTTTTCTGGGACCTGGTCACAAGAGGCCCCCATGCCTATGTGATAAGCCACATCGCTAACTTACACAATGAAGGTAAGACTCAGCTTCCCCCTTTCTACCATTTAGCACCAAGGCAGGCCTGGTCGCCCTCTGCTTTCTCCCTATGACCTGGGCCCCTGCCAGGCTGCCCCAGCTCATCATTGCACTAGATGCCAAGGCAAGGCTCCTTTCAGCTTTTCTAGAACTCAGGGATTTGCCAAACACCATGTGTTCCCACCTGCTTGTTCTATCTATTCAATGTCTCAAGTCTTGGGGCAGGACAGCTGCTGGAAGCTTGCTTTCTCTGAGGTAAAAGAAAACTACTCTGTTCTCCCTGCTCAAAGCACTGAGGTTTTCTGAGGGGCAGAATTTTCTTTGGCTACTCCTCATACTTGATCCCTTTCCTGGATCCCATTCGAGTTTTTCTTCAGGCTGATCCACATCTGCGTGGCTGTTTCTTTCTAGCCAGTCACAGCGTCACCCTGCCCTTTGTGGCCTACATACCTCCTTCAGTGCTGTAGTTATGTCTTTCCTATCTGTCTGTCTGGGTGCTAGTCTTCCGTCCCTCTACCCTCTCCTGAGGATGCTCACATTCATTGTTTACCTGTGGGGAAGAGTCTGAGTGCTCAGGGAAGAGCTGTGATTGGGAGTGCTACCTCCTGCAAGATGGAGCAGAGTTGGATTTCTTGACCTTGAACCCTGCAGAATCTGGAGACTCTACGCCCTGGAGATCAAGCCACAGCTGTAGTAGTGGGTCGTTCAATCCTGGTGCCTCGCCAGACCCCCAATTCCATCATAATAGCAGGGGGTGGGTATGGGAGTATCCATCTAGAAACCGGAGCAGCTGCCGAAAAACAGCCTGGCTTTTGGCCAGATGGAGGGAAGGAGAGGCAAAGCCAGGGGAGCCCAAACTTGGGCTACACAGCATTTCCGCTCCCCTTTTCCTGGAACTGCAAGTGCCACGTTTTAGAACAGATAATGAATCACAGAGCTGCTCTGATGAAGAAATCCAAAAGTGCCTCTTTGCCTTGTCTCTCCCCATGTCCCCTCTTTAGGCTTTGACTGATTAATATAAACTTTTTACAGTGAGTTACTGGAAATGGGAGTAGAGGACTAGTCAAAACCCGCTGGACTCCTGCAACTGAGGTGACCAGTAGGAAGTGAGCTAGACGGTGTGAAGAGA